TCATCCAGGTGAATCTGAAGCTGGCTCTCTCCTCATCACCGCATGCTCCAAGAGTGCCCTGCCTCCAGAGGAAACAACAACCACCTCTGGACGATGCATGTGCGTAAGCTACTAGAGATCCGATTAGATATTTAGCTTACAGTAACTCAGATGCGTGTTTAAACGGCTACCTCAGCCACCCTGGTTTGCTCTATGGGATTCCTTTGATATTCCTGTAAGATTTCTTGATATTGCTCTACCTTTTACCCTGTTTCCGCCCTACCCCTGTAATCAATAAAGTTCTCCTTTGAGACCGGTGTGGGAGACTTATTGAGGGGTGGGTCTAAATTATGCCAAGGAGGCCCCTTAGGCCTGTGGACTAAGGGAGGCTTCCTAATCAGCCCCTGACTTGGGGAAGTGCCCCAAGTGCTGGTATTGGGTCTAGCACCCATTGGATGATCAGGCCTGTGTTTTCCAAGGTGCGCAGAGCCAGAAGTGAGTCCAGAGCCTTGGATGGTGGCAGCGGGAACCCCAGGCTAGCGGGTGTGCTCCAGGGAAGGGGTCGGCCGGACGGGAGGCACCCTAAGGGAGGCACTCGGAGCCTGGAAGGTGGTTCGGCGCAGGGAGGTGGGCGGCTCAACGCAGGAGCGCCCCCTACTAGCAGCGGTACAAATACGTGCCACAGCTGTTTGTCCCCAAGGAAATGCACGTGCTTGTCTAGACATGCCCAAGGAGTTTATGCCACTCTTAATCAATTGATCTGATTTTCAGATTATAATTTAGGACCCTGGATGGCCAGGGTACCCAGTCTAATACAGTTGAAAACAGATCATGCCCACTTAGCTGTAGCTGATTTGTCAAGCTTCTACGGGATAGGACTGGATATGAAATAAGAGGTTAGATGGAGAGAGGGTAACCAGGAAAGTAGGAAATGCCTGATATTCAGGATTAAACATCAGAGCTAAAGCAGCAGTAAAGGGGGAGAGAGACATGTCAGAACAGTGGTCCCCAGCCGTCCAGCCCTGTGCACTGAACGAGTAGTGTGGGATCAGTCTCTGATCTGTAGCCTGCAGTGGAATCAGCACTTGGGGTGGATCCACAGTATGCCAGATGTGACTGTGTGCCCACATCCACCCATGTGCTGGCTTGATCTAGCATGCAGGGCTGTATCTTGTGGCCCACAGGGCTCTCCAAAAGTCTGGAAGTTGTCTTACTAAAATTTGAAAGACATCTAGAATAAGCTATAATTTTTAGATAAATATATTTTTCTCAATGAGATGCTTTTCATTCCTTTTGCATCATATCTCTATTTCAAGCATTTACTGTGCAGCAGCTCCCCCCTGAGCAGTTTCTGGACCTGTGGGTTGCCCAGTGGGCCAAGTGACACAAACCTGCAGGCTAGCTCTGACCCGCAGGCCAGAGGTTGAGCACACACATGTTAAACTGTTATTTACACACTTATTAATAGCCTGTGATGATTTGATTAACTGCTGTTGTGGTAGTTCCATTTTAGGTTAAAAGTTTCCATGCAGCTGACTTCCTGCATCCTTGTTATAAATAGTGGTCAGTACTACCGGTTGCTTGTTTTCCACCACTTAATTTTTTATTACTTATTTAGAAACCACAGTTCTTTCTCTGCGAAGCAGTTGAAGTTCCCAGGAGCTGCGGGAGGAGACGGGTACAAGTCTTACTATTTCCCAAGTGAAGTTTTGCTATTGTAAACTTGGCAGACAGACCAAAGCGAACAATCTGACCATGCAATCAGATAGCTTGTTCAGTATAAAATGTATTTAGAGATTCAGGAAACACAAAGCTCATACAGTTCTGGTTCCTGAAAGGGTTGGGGAGGGGGGAATAAACCAGATTAAATATTACATTGCATTGTGTTGAAAGTGCTGAACTCCTTGATAGAGTTGAATTTCTTCCTTTTGTTTCTGATAATTTCTAAGTACTTTTTGCATTTTGAATAGAACATACAAAACTTTTTTTTTTTAAATGCCTTTTGGGAACTTAACATTTTCCTTTTTGTTAAAGAAGAATAGGTATCAGAATAATGGTATGGTATCAGATAATGAATAAAAACGCATTCTCCTAAGAAACATTATTTCTAAAAAGCATTTCCAAATCATTTGTTTTACAAAGAATCTTTGTATACCCGAGACATGAAACCAGGTTTAAATAACACTAAAACTGGGACACAAGCAAAAGCATTCAAAATTTAAAGCCTTATGCTCTACCTTTAACTTGTATTTTAGAGAAACGGTATCATTAAGGTGGCAGACTGAAGTAGCCTTACCTGCACAAGTCTTATTTCCCCTTGTTGTCACAGATCTAGAATGGCCTAAAGTTGGACATTTCTGAATTTCCAAGAGGATAGGAGTTATCAGTTTGTGAAGCTGCTAGTTTGCAGTAGTGCAGGGCTGTACAGTTGGCAGCCCGTGTGTCTCACAAGGTTACATTGCAGCCCCGAGGCACCCACTGAGCCACCACTACCGTCCATTGCTCTGGCTGCAGAAGCAGCTGGGTCTTCAAGCTCCCTCTCCCGCTGACTTCCCCTTCTTTGTGCCTGGGTCAAGGTCACGTAGTGTGTCACAGCTCATAGTGCTGGAGGAACCTGCGACCTTGGGCACCTGAGGTGCCCCGTTAGAAAGCTCTGCTGGAGTTGAAGATTGGAATGGGAAATACAGTTGTTGCAAATATGGTGATACGTAGTTGCATTGTAACTAAGCCCTTGTCCTGAAATAACATCATAGAGACAGGCCCGGCACCCATGTAGAAATCCAGTAAGTCGGTGGATATCTGTGTGGGTCCAGGAAGTTTGTCTTAATGAAAATTGTTGCTGGGTAGCTGTTTAGTCAAACTTTATTTACCTTTGGGAGCCAAAATAACTGCACTTCTGAATGGGAATAAAAAGAGCAGTTTTTCTTTTTCATTGATGCAAAATAAAACATTAAACATGGAAGAATAAAGGATAGATAATCTTGGGGTGAAGGCACTAGCTTGGGCTGAGGAGAGCCAGTTTCCTTGCCTATTTGAGCTGCGGATTTGTCTCTGTGCCTTGGTTCCCTCATCTGTAAAATTAGAGTACCATGACCACCTGCTGCAGGAGTGCTGTGAGGCTAGATTCATTAGCGTTTACACTCAGCCATTATGGTGATGAATGCTTCATAAGTAGATAAGAATTGCTATTTTTGGAATCATCAAATCCTGTGCATCTGGTCCCCGTAATCATTTTATAGAGCATGAGAAATAGGAGATAGTACCTTGGTAAGAAGTAAGGATGGGAGAGGATAGGAGGGCAATCAAGACATTGTTTAAATGACCCCATGAGATAGCATTGAGTATTTTAAATTTCCAAAATCGGGCCTTTCCCCTCGTAGTTTGGATTTGTAGTGCTCACTGTCTTTTCCCCTGAGAGAGTACAGTCTGAAAGAGAGTATAATAGTTGAATGAGACAAAAAAGCAAGTCAAGGCAAAACTGATGGGTGATGCAGGGTAACAAAGGTAGTAGGATGTATACAGTTCACATCTTGCCACTTGATTATCATTTTTTATTGCATACAACATATACCTTTTCTTTTCTTTTCTTTTTTTCCCCAAAATCAGTCACTGGAAGTTGGATTGTGTATTATATGCAAAGAAATATAGTAAGAGCAGTTTCTGTTGCTTACTGGGCAAAAGCAGAAGTAAAGGCGGCCTACAGACTCCAGAGAGCAGAATAATGAGCAGGCGCAGCTCCCCAGTTGCTACTGCTCAGTTACTAGAAGGAAAGGTCCTGTTTTTGTCATTCTGCCTTTAAAAACAAGGTGCATATCTCATTCTGAGCTGCACTGTATGCAACAAAATATGGTAGTCTCTCTCAAGACACCTTTGACTGTTTGCACATGTATAAAGGCTCATTTTTTTAAAATAGTAGAACTTGTGTATGAAATCTTCAGCTCTGATATTTGACTTGTACCATAGAAAAGTACCAAAAAGATCAACAAAGTGTGAAAGAAAATGATTTAAAACAAGGCAAAAAGGAAATCTAGTGAATATTAGACAATGTCTGCACTGGACTTTTCCCATGCTGAGCTTTGCTCTGTAGAGGCCACCTTCTGAAATGGAAACAGTCATGACTGGTTTTGTGCTTTGGGTGAGTAAATAGCACTGCTGAGTGACAGTGGTAATTAGCCCTCCCCAAAATTGCATAAATCCAGCTGTCACTTCTGGTTCAGGCAAAGCAAGTCAGCATGTTTTAAGGGTGTCACTGCCTAGTACAGATGACCTTCAGTGCATAGATTATATATTTGATTAGACTTCTTTCTTGACCTGTTGTCCCATATATTACATACCCTTTCTTGCTCCCCAGCCAGCTCAGGGTCACGTGAGTTGCCTTAGAGCCCTTGATTTATGACTGCATTGTTGAAGTGGTCAATACATTACATTTATGTGAAATATTTTGATTAAAGTATTAAACTTTTTCTAAGCTTCCCGGAAATGTGTAGAGTACAGAGAGATACCATGCTGATCATCAAAGTAATTACACAACCAAGTTATACCCCTATTATTTTATTTTTTAGACTGCTATTAGAATTAATACCAGCAGATAACGGCCAAAGAGCAGATATTTTCAGCCACTTCTGTTTTATTGAACTGTTTAATTTGAAATTGAATTTTAACATGTTTCTAAGTAATAAAGGAAATTAGTAATGTAACATTACATGGGAGTTAGCACAGAGCTCAAGGATATCTTGCAGAACATCATACCAGCTATTTTCAGTTTTTTAAAATTGCTTTTGGACCCCTGGTGTTTCACTCAGGGAATCAAACTAAAGGAACATGATGTGGAGAAAATTGTGTGGTTAAAATCTGAGCCTGGGATTCGGGAGACCTGGATTCTGTCCCCAGCTTTGTCTCAGATTTCCTCGGTGACCCTGCATGAAGCATTTATCCACTCTTTGGCTAAAATGGGGATAAGGCACTTCCCCTTTTCTGTATCTTTCTTCCCCTTTTATCCTTGTCTTTATAAGTTTATATAAGTTGGCTCTTGGAAACAGGAGCTTTCACTTTGTTTCTGTGCAACCTTTTACGCAGTGGAGTCTTAAGTCACAGCTGGGAGCTCTTAGTGGTATAGATATTATTATTCCCAAAGGTTCAAAGCATGGACCAGTGCATGTATGGAACATGACAGGCCCAATTTTTATTAGTAGTAGTGCATGTGTGTTAGGTAGAAATAAGTGTAATGCCTATCTCACTGGGCTAGTAAGTCAGTAAATTAATTGCTTGGAAAGTGCATTGAGGTCCCTTGACAGAAAAAGGAAAGAAAGTGCAAAGTATTCATGTATATCATTCTGCTGCAGGCACAAATATTTGTGTCCAAAGTAGATAAGGTATGTCATTCACTGACCTTTTCTATATATCGCCCAACTAGTTAATGAATTGAGCAGAAATTAATTTTCTTGGGCTTTGATGTCTATTAACTGACACAAAGTTATACATTACCAACTTGATTGCATATTTCCATTTGTTGTTCCTTAATTAAAGTCACAATGACAAAGGTTGGAGCTTTAATTAATGTAGTGTATTGTTATAATACTTTTAATTTAAAAGTAATGTGGAAAGGTCTTTCTCCTAAATGATTCTTTATTAAAGGTTGATGTGGAATTAATATTTCATTTCATTTTTGTAGCTGATGATATCTTTGTCCTAACCTGAACCGAAGTACAGAAGTTTGCTTTTGTGCATTGTTGCATATCAAGACCTTTAATAAAGAAGCAATTTCAGTTAGTATAAAAGCTGAGGATTGAGCATCTGCTGTAATAGGGTAATTTGATAAAGATGGGGGGGGTGATCTTTGAAGGCTAATAAGAGTCATTGAAAGAACCTAGCAACTAACTTTAACTTTACTCTGTATTATCAAAATAAAACGTTTCATTTCATGCCACCTGCAGAATATCACGTTAGTTTTTCATTACTGTAAAAATGAGCATCTTTTCTAGTCATGTCATTCATGGAATACTATGAACAATGCAAATGTGGCAGATCAGCATTTGTATCAAGCATTGATCAGTATTTGTATCGAGCATGTGACCAGTTGTGTGGCAAAAAGTGGCTGACAGTATCTGCCAGGACAATGGGTAATAATGGGCAGAGAACCATCTGGTGGCACAGGACCTTAAACAGCATGAGGAACTTTCTGGTTGTATTCATTTTAATGAGGTCTGGACATCTGATGCGACATTCGATAGTATTTAGATTATTTCCATTCTGGTTTAGTGTCTGAAGGAAAAAAGACAAATGCTTATTTGCATAATTATGTGCATCTTAGATCTGACATTTGACCAAATGACTTTCATAAGAAAAGCATGCAAAAGCCGGTTTAATCTAGTGTAGAAATTAGAAGCTTGTGATTTTGTCATGCTGGGTTTTTTAATTATGGTGCTAGAAGCTCAGAGAGTAAACAATGGCCCGTATTCCTGTAAAGACCACAAAGAAAATACCTATGCTTGCACTTTTATATTTTAAAATAAGCAAAAGGTTCCAACTCACAGAAACCAAACTGTTTTGGAGGAAGAGGCACTTTTGTTGTTAGCTTTGTCACTATATAAGTCCAAGAAAGGTGAACAGCCTTACTCAATCACTTGGTGCTGTTAAATATGATGAGGCTAGACAGCCACCTTAAAGGATTTTTTGAATTAATAAGATACACAACCAACTTGGGGAGAATTTAGTGAAATTTTAAACCTATTTTAAAAAAATTGCTAAACATTAACTAACAGAAAAGTGCATTCCTCACAAAAACACCTCATCCCAATAGAAATTGCATCCTTCTCTGAAGGCAAACAAGAAGGGGGCTTATAAGGCAAATGGGAAAACAAAATCCAGTGTCTACAGCTGCTGAGGCCCCAGTCCTGCCGATTATTGCTCTTAACTTCTGGGTGGATGTATAACTGGGGAGATAGCTTCTGAGGGTCTGAATGTGGTTTGAAGAGATGGACCTTACAATCTAAGAGTCTATGTTTGGCACTAGCTGAAGTTTCCCCTTGGTTTCCAGTCGTTCAAGGGGTGGAACTTAATGACCTTAGGGGTCCCTTCCAGCCTGACTTTCTTATGAGGCCATGAATCTGCTGAGGAAGGCTGAGAGCTAGGAGAACACGTTAGCCTTTCCAGCCTTGGCGCTCTACCTCAATATGTCAGCAGTGCCGTATTGAGCTAGAGAGCCAAGGCTGGAAAGGCTAACGGTGTGCACGCAAGAGCCGTAGAATGCGTCTGCCATGCCCAAGTCAAGAGCTGGTTGGCAGGAGAAAACGGGGATAGGGAGTGATCAATGGAGGGACTTGCCTTATGACTTTTCCAACCTTCAGTCAGTTGACATCCAAGAGGACTAATGGTTAGTAGATGGTCTTGCTCATGGACTTGCCTAGAGACTGAAGGG